GTGATCACAAATTAGTTAGCATAAATCAGTTAAATGACGAAAAATTAGGTGTCTATTTACTTGTGACCACTCAGTGTACACGCAAAGCATTAACATTTTCTCTAGCCAGTTACTCAGGCACACACACACATAACTAGAGGCATGCTCTCTCAAACAATAAAAGTTTACATGATTCAAGAATCTGTTTATACCTAGGCTCGCTCACTAAGTTAAAACAATGCAGTGACTTCTTGTTATGTTGTGTCATTGTAAAACCAGATATACTAATAAAGGAATATGATATAGTCAGATTGGAATAGTACGTATTTACGCATTAGAATATGCTGAACTTTTGCATTCCATTGATCCCTGCACAACCCCTGGATGTCTGTCAAGAAACCCGAGAGTTCCGCGGAACCCTGGTTTAGAAGCACTTTTCTAACAAACTGAGCACTTTAGGATTTCGTGATTCCCAGGAGGAGCAGGTGATCATAGGAATGATTAAACTGTCCAAATATACTTAATTTCACAGCATAAATCTATTGTACTGAGTTGATTGCATAGTATTTCACATAGTGCTGATAAAATATTGAGATCTAACAATAACTCAAAATTTCCAGGTGATGTGAAAACTCTGACTACATTTTTGAAATCAGAACCAAAAAATTACCCCAAATCACTCGAGTTTTTTTCAATAGCAAATATTTTATTATCCAGAATAAACATATTGTTGTAAAAATATGTCAGAGGAGGAGTTATTTACGCAAATAGGAATGTATATATAAATATACACTTGTGTGTGTGTGTGTGTGTGTGTGTTGCATCCGGTTTTATAATAATAGCCTAGAATGCCTTTTCATTTTTCATGATATCATTTTGCTCTCCTCCCTTTTGGTTTGCTGGTCGGAGGTGATGCTTGAACCTTCTACAACTTTTTTTTTGTACCCATAAACTGTTTTTATTTAAATGACATCTCGTTGTGACTTGAACCGTTCTTAGTTTATGAAGATGGAAATGAAGATTTCTTGAATGTGGAGGCGGATAGAAAAAGAGGGTTTATGCAAGATAGCAGTTGAGGTTAGATACCCTGTATAGCTTGTGTGAGAGAGAGCGGAGGGGCAGGAGGACTGGCTGAGAGAGGGTGAGTTAAACAGTACAGGTAGTAAATCACTTTTATATTATATAATGGCACGTTTATTTTCGTCATGATAAGCAGCATATGAAGAACAAAACGTAATTTTAATAATATGGAAACAAAATTACTGCACTGTATATTGTTTATTGCAGAATTGTACAGAATTATTTTTATTTATATATATGGATAAGTTATATTTTGTTTTGACTATAGTGTCAAAATGCTTCATACATTAAATTGAGAGTATTTTTGCCCATAAATTGTTTGATATAATTATGTCTGTTTGATTTACATTTTTATAGTAAGAACATTATTATTGCAAATATTTAACACATAAATGCCTCTCAGAATTTCTAAATATCTCAGTATATATTTATTTAAAATTTCCGTAGATGTTAGCTTTTTTTTTGTTTGTTTGTTTTTGGCAAATTTGAACTGTCTCTAGTCGTATGGTTCTGCAGCAGTAAAGCGTTTAAGCACACACGTGTGTTCCATTTATGGCCACTCACATGCGCGTATCTTTCTGCATGTCTGTTTTCTGCAGAAAAAGAAAAATGGTAAATGGCGGCCTCCAGAACCTACCAATATATAAAGAAAAATATTAATATTTAATTAGGAAATTTCGCTTAACTATTTTCGATGTCGAGTATATGAATAAAAGCCACATAAATACCAATTCTTATTTTAAAATTAATCACATTAGTAAATTTGATTTGTTTTGAATTTCGCGCAAAACTACACGAGGCCTATCTGCGCTAGCCGTCCCTAATTTAGCAGTGTAAGACTAGAGGGAAGGCAGCTAATCATCACTACCCACCGCCAACTCTTGGGCTAATATTTTCCCAACGAATAGTGGGATTGACCGTCACATTATAACGCCCCCACGGCTGAAAGGGCGAGCATGTTTGGTGTGACAGGGATTCGCAGCCACGACCCTCAGATTGCAAGTCGAGCACCTGGCCACATTAGTAAATCTAACCAAGTTTATTGAGCACATGAGGTCATGTGGATTTTATGTACGTAACACGTCTTTCGGTAGTGTTTTTATTCATTAAGACAAATGTCTAAAATTTTAATGATGTTTTAACGGGAATTCTTAGTTACTTGTTATTCCTTTAACAACGCTTTCGTAAATAATTTTAAGTATTATTTTACGAACACATATGGGCTCCCTTTTCTTTATCATTCCTTTAGAAAAGTTAATGATCTTTCGCTGATCTTTACGACAACTTAAGATTTTGGATTTCTGTGTTTTTGTTTTTCTCTCTCTCTCTTTTGCCTCTAAACAAAAAATAAAATTATGGGTGGCGCCTATCGCTGTGTAACTTTTGTATATTTTCACTTTTAAATAATTTTTTACGAGCTGTATTATGCTTAAAAATTACTGAACGTTTCATTACTAGAGGTTTTTATTTGTGGAAATAATGCTCAAGTTAAATCTTTTTGTAAATCATGTTCAAGCTAAATCCTATTGTAAATAATGTTCAAGCTTAGTCCTATTGTAAATAATGTTCAAGCTAAATCCTATTGTAAATAATGCTCAAGGTAAATCATATTGTAAATAATGTTCAAGCTAAATCATATTGTAAATAATGTTCAAGCTAAATCATATTGTAAATAATGTTCAAGCTAAACCCTATTGTAAATAATGTTCAAGCTAAACCCTATTGTAAATAATGTTCAAGGTAAATCATATTGTAAATTATACTGAAAAATCTTAGTGCGAACATCAATACCCACAACTCGAGGTTTGTTAAAGTTTTTTCTGATTAATTTACAAACATGATGCATTTCATTAGTTAATTTTTATTTTTAAAAGTAATTAGAGGATACAAATAAAGTGAAACTATGATGTAAAAACGTAATTTACTTCGATAAACGATCTAAGAAAATAACTTAAAATCAGAAACTCAAAACCTTGGTGTCAGATATAAATTTTCTTGTTGTTTTTTGTTTGTCTGTTTGTAAATTTTTTAGGTAGAACGCCAAATATTAATTTATAATAAATACCAAATTATGTGAAAAAAAAACTCTTATTAAAAATGATTACCTTTATTAATATCGCACTGCATGTATAATATTCAATTTTAGGACATAAAACTTTTCCTCCTTTTGTTATTTTTACTTAGCAAATTTATTTTCACACTCCATCGCGATCTTCCGTCAGATACACTATTGCGTTGTTGTTTTTACTTGCACATATATCAAATTGTTTTACGATTTATTTATCTCATTTATGTGTCATACATGTGTCAATGGTGTTAGACAAATTACATCAGTACATGGTGTTTATTTCTCAAGTTTTTTGTTGTTTTTTTGTGTCAAAAGAACTGAAAGTGAATATTTTTAAGTTCATGATGGGTGGGTGGAATCTCCATCCAGGTAAAGATATAAGAAACCTAAGGTAACGGTGATCTTAACATGCACAAAGCATGAACGTATGGCCACAACGATAATTCATTTAGCGAGGACCTAATGATTTGCGACACACACGTACCCCAAATTATTTTTTAAGATAAACCCGATTATTTTCTTTTTCGTCACTAGATAGCGGAGAAGTCGCAACTTGTAATTTTGCTCTCGACAGAAAGAGCGTTGTACACACACACACACACAAAGATTTTACAGTATCACGAAATGTCATGCTACTCATTCTTAAGTTCTGTGTGCAATGCGCATGCTCAACATGTTTACGAACAAACCAATCAAAAGCGGCTAAATATGATTTATCTTTTACTGCAGGAATCTGTTGTAGCACGCGCTGCGCTGACGAGCGCTGAACGTAAAGCATAGTTGGCTGTGACGTCACTGTTTTCAAGTAATTGTCGTAAAAACTACTAGTTGCTCAAAGACAAACCAGATCACGAGTAGAGCGTCTTTATATCAAGTCCTGAGGATATATACGAAACGCCTTAAGGTCTTCACTGTTTCAGGTAGGTTTTATCAAGAGGTTTTTTTTTTTCGAAAATGTAATTTACCATAATCATTTGAATTAATGGGCTTTTCCGACGATCTTCAAACTACTGCAGTTAACTCCCATTCTCTTGAAGTTAAATCATTTGTTAAAAATCTCGAAGGAAATTTTAGAAACTCTTCGGGTCACAGGCTGTTCACTGGAAATGTCGAGAGAAAAATGCAAAAATGATTTGATGTTTTGTGTTTGAGGTTTCTATGCCATTTATTAATGAATAATAATTAATCTAATTTACTTCGGTGGCATTCTTAACTTAAAATAGCTTTCGTGCCTAAATTATAACATTTTTTTTCATTCTCTGAGAGAAACTATAAAATACAAACCAAGATCAAACCTAATTCTTTCCCGTTGTTTATAGCCAAAATCAAACCTATTTCTTTCCCATTGTTTATAGCCAAAATCAAACCTATTTTTTCCGTTGTTTATAACCAAAATCAAACCTATTTTTTTCCATTGTTTATAGCCAAAATCAAATCTATTTCTTTCCCGTTGTTTACAGCCAAAATCAAATCTATTTCTTTCCCGTTGTTTATAGCCAAAATCAAACCTAATTCTTATCCGTTGTTTATAGCCAAAATCAAACCTAATTTTTTTCCATTGTTTATAGTCAAAATCAAACCTATTTATTTCCCGTTGTTTATAGCCAAAATCAAACCTAATTATTTTCTGTTGTTTATAGCCAAAATCAAACCTATTTTTTCCATTGTTTATAGCCAAAATCAAACCTATTTTTTCCATTGTTTATAGCCCAAATCAAACCTATTTATTTCACGTTGTTTATAGCCAAAATCAAACCTAATTATTTCCCGTTGTTTATAACCAAAAACAAACCTAATTCTAAACCTAGCGCTAATGTCTTTACCCTTTAGCTCTTTTGATAGAGCACTCGACTGGCGTCCAAGAGTTCTTGGGTTCAAATCTACCACACAAGGACTGCTGTTCTTTGGTTGGCTAATACATATGCAAAACGATATTTCCACTTACTACAGTCTGCTAGTTAACGTATCTGCGTGTTTTATTTTATTTTTGTTGTTGATATTTTTTTTTTATGTGGCACATGTCCCCTTCACATTGCACCAGGGATTTCTTTTATCAGTAATATACTCGTATAACCACTAGTCAGTAAAGTGGTCGACACTAGGATCTAGTCAGCAACAGAGACAGTTTAGCTGGTTGCCATGTTTGGCTTGCAATGCACTTCCCCCACTTCCGTCCCTCAGCACATACACAATTTTGAAATCAAAGCTACGCTACTGAATTAATTTAAACATAAAATTACATCCCCACTGACGATCACAAGTTCTAAACATTAATATTAAAAATCAGTTTGGATTACTTCTTTTAACATGTTTATCCATTCAACTTTCGGCCCGTGAGGATGAAACACTTTTACAGGGGTTTTTATCATATTATTAGTTAAAAGGTTTGTTAATACTAACGTTTTATCGGTGAAAATTTAGTCACATAAGTTATTAATGAGTGATTAAAACGTTCACTAGTTTAACTAGTTAACTGCAATTATACACAATCAGACAATTAGTTAAATAATTAAGATTTGACATAATTAGATTCTGGAATGTGTTCGATATGTTGTGAAGCATGATGTATACTGTTTAACAATGTTTAGCAATTCTAAACGTTCAGTGTCCAAATTTTCTTTCCCGCCTTTGTTTTCCACTTATACACATGTCATTAGGCTCATTTATTACAACTACTTCTTTAAGATATTACTAGAAGATAAAATAAATATATGAACTTTATGGAAAAGAAAACCTGACCTGTTTACAAAGTAAAATCAGCAAATGTCAGAAAAGCTATATTGTGTAAAGAAAATGACATCTCTGACACAAATCCGAAAAATGCTTCAGTTAGATAACTTATCGCTTACTGACCAGCTCGACTTGAAATACTTGACTACGCGTGCCAGACTGTGAATCAGAGGGTGTATGATTGACGTCTCTTTACCGCAAAATACCGTTCCGCACTTCGGAATTGTGGGTGTATTATAAGAGTGACGGTCATGTTCTACTATTCGATTAGAGAAACCTAAGAGGTCGCAATCGGTACTGTTAACTAGTTGTCTTCGCTCTCTATCATTTTAAAATTAGAGTCCGCTAGCGTAGATAGCTCTTATGTACATGTGCGTGAATATCCGAAACAAATAAAACAATGCTACGATTGAGCATAAAAATGTGTTGTTTTCGTTTAGCTAACAACATTATCTTGTGCTTTGTAAATAATTCTACATCCAGTGTATTTGTAAAGACCTTTGTCTACAAATATGTTAATATTTTTATGTTACTTTGAAATATGCCACAAACTGCAGTTACCTACCTTCCTAGAATTGAAACGCTTGAAATCCTGTTGTCGACTTTCATACACCTACCAAAATGTAACGCTTAAAAATCCTAATCCTATCTTTAATCCAGATAACGAAGTCTGATTCGTAAAACTCCTGTTGTTAATATTTACCTACCTAACACATAGTAACAATTGAATACTTGTTGTTAACGTTCAGGCATTTACCCAACTGTAATTTTCTAAAATCCTGTCGTTAACCTTCACCTGTTAACACAGCTGTAACTCTAGAAGCTCAGTCGTTAATTTTTACCTAGTTACCAAACTATAACTCCCTAAAACCCGCTATTACCTTGCATTTGCCAACAAAGCGGTAACTTTGGAAATCGTGTTTTTAACCTTTATCCAGCTATCAGACTGTAATTCTGAAAGTCCTGCTATGCAAATCTCGCTCACTTGTCATGTTCTAGCTATAGAACTACTGTTGCTCGTTCTCACTTAAAGTAATAAACTGTCATCTGATAACTAAACTTTGACTTTGGTAATTGTGGAATTAACTGCTGTCCCACTATCATCTGGTAACTAAACTGGCGAAAGTTGGATTGTCTCCTGTTGATGGTATTGGCGATTTGGTTCCACAGATGGTTTATTGGACTTATGTCAGGAGAAAGAGTCGGCCACGACAAGACCTCGAAATTGTCGTGCCATTGTAATCCTATCAATGTGTGGTCTTGCAATGTCCTGCTGGAAAACTGACACTTCTTGATTGTCTTGCAGATGGATGTGACGGTCCTAGGCTTGCCTTTAATCATGCTTATAATAACCAGTCGATCTACATTACTCAAGCGGGACATGGTCGTATCTTTCACTGTTTTTGCGTTAATTACGACAAAGTATTTTTGAATAGCTATTTTTACAGACTCTTGTTCGACTGGTTTTGGCAATTTTAAATCAACTCAAATACCTAACACTAAACACCTGGTGTTTTTATGAAATCACATGACTTGAGCTCTTTATTTTTTATCCCAATAATCCATGCTACAAACTACCTTCCCACTCTTTAACATGTAAATAACATTTTATAGGTGCCCGATGAGTTATTGGGGTAAAATGTAGACTGTTGTGTTCACGTTGTGCATCAGTATGGAAAGTTTACTACACAATTATCACTAAATCTGTAACTTGTGAAATCCTTTTCTGTCCATCTGCTTAACTATAGGTTTTAAAGTACTGCTGCCCAACCATTGCCCAATCTATAATTATGAAAAAACTCCAACTCTGTAACTGTGGAAAACCTCCATTCCAACTGCCACCGAGGCTATACCTCTTGAAATTCACTAGCCCAGCTATCGCCCAAATTATAACTCAGGAGTACCTTAGCCCAGATTTAAGTCTTGAAATCTTGTAGCCCAGATGTAACTCTGGAAAACCCTCCAGCCCAACTGTTGCCCAAGATATAATTCTGGAAGACTTTCAACCCAACTGCCGTCCAAGTTGTATCTCTAGAAAATCTCCTGCTTAGATGTCGCCCACCTACAAAATCTTTAAAGTTGGAAGATTAACTGTCCAGCTGTCATCTACTTATTAAACTATCAATTTTGAATCCTGCTATCTAGCTTTCAACCACCTATTAATCTGTTTTCTTGGAAAACCTGTAGTCCAACTACCAATTTTGAGATCTATGTATTTTTTACTCCAAAAATTTTGACTGAATGTCGCAATAATAATGCCTTATTGGTAAAAAAAGAAATACGTAACCAAGCAGACAACTAAATCTATAAGTCACGCGAAGATATCGCAAACTTCTTTTGTTTCGAAAGACTTTTAGATTAGATGTAAAAAAATTAAAGTCATAAGTTACATAGTTTCATACAGTGGTAGGGTTGGAAATCGATTTATTGATTTGTTCATTTTACGACGTCCATCCCTCTGTCGATAAAAAAGTTACTATGACATTCGATTCATTGAATTACTTAGTTTTTCATAAGTTTATATATATCATAACTGAATATTACCAGGAAACTAAAACATAATCAATATACAACATTTGCATTAGTTATTTTAACCAGACATAAACACACTGTTACAATTAAAGTTGTTTCTGTAACCAGAAATATGCAAACAGTTACGATTATAGTTGTATCCGTTACCAGACATACTCACGCAGCTACGAATATGGATGTTACTGTGATCACAAATATGCAAACAGTTGACAACTATGGTTGTTAGTGTAAGTAGATATATAAATACAGAGTTATGATGGTTGTAACCTGAAATATGCACACAATTATGGTTATGATTGTTATTGCAACGAGACATGTGTGTATAGCTAAAGTTGTAACTGTAATCAGACATACGCACACAGTTATGATTATAGTTGTCATGAAAGCCAGGCGTCGCCAAGTTGTTACTGTGCTCGGATTGTGAATTCGAAGGTTCGTGGTTCACAGTCCATTGCCGTAAAAACAATTGTAACTAGACATAAATTATCACACTTGTACACACATAGTCACACACTTTACCTTTTCATCAGTATAGGTAAAAATGGAGTAGTGTAAATTAAAAATTTCTTTGTTCATTTCAGACATCAGGGCTATCTGCACATAGCCGTTCCTATGTTTATTTCAGACATCATGAACATAGCCGTTCCTATGTCTATTT